GTCAAAAATATGTGAACCATTGGATGAGAGTCAAAAAGTGTTAGTAATCATATCCAAGGGATCTGGCGCGTTGTGCATATCATGGCCATTAGTGAATAAAACACTGAATCAAATGTAAAATCAGATTTTCAAAAAAAACAAGTGGCAAGCCATCATTGGTTGGAAGATGACACGTTGGTCTTCTTCAACCTCCAGCCAGTCCCAAAACCAGGTTGCTCAATCTCTAAAATTAGAGCACGAGACCTATGTCATTCGCTTCGTCTCTTCAAGATGAACACAACCACGCATTCACGATAAATTTATATAAATTGTAGCTCAAGCAATTTGGAAGAGAAGTTTTGAAAATGGATTTGAAATTTCATGGTCAAAACGTGTTTCCAGATAAAAGCAAGTATTGCGACTAAAACTAGGGCACTGAGAGCTTCACAGTGATATCAAAGTTTGGAAGAATTGATGGAGAAATCTACCTATTGAAGTTGAGTTGCAGAGCTCTGAAACTGGACTTCTATGGATCAATATAGGTTACGATTCTCGAAGGTAATTATATGGTTAGCTTCAGGGAAGATCAAGGAAGGTGAATTGATAGAAAAAAAGGATTGAAAAAGGCTTGAACACTGATTTCAAAGTTGCAGAAAAATGAGATATGGAGCAAGTTTGGCAGGGTGATTTTGGTTGTTCAAGCTTGAAGAAATGAATGAGGGATGGCCCTCTATTTATAGGGAATCAAATGGAATGTTCAAGCGTGTGAAATGATGAAGTTTGGAGGGAAATCGTGTGAAGTTGCAAACAAGAAAAGTGTGACTTCTAATTTGATCAAAACTCATCCAAAACGCGTGTTTTGCTATGCTAATCACTTCTGGAAGTTCACTAAACATGTTTAGAAGCAAAAACACGCAGAAACAATGTGTTTAGAAGCTAAATCAAGGATTTTAAATTCTGACTTTTGAAGAAACTTCAGTTTCAAGTTACCAAGTTCAAATCAATGGCATTCTTAGCTCAAGGGGTCTTAGGGCATGATTCTTGATGCTTTAGAAAGATGAGGTTACAAGCTTTGCAATGGGAAAAGAATGGAATCAAATGGATGTTTGAGCTGAAAGTTGTAATGAGTCAAAGTTGGGAAAAAGAGGTTGACTTTTCATACTTAGAAATATTTCAAGTTTTTCTTCAAAAGTGACCTATAATGTTTTGCATCCAAACATGGCCTTCCTCTTATAATTTGCTCTTAACCAAAAAAGATGGCATGAAATAGACCTCTTGAATGACATTTTGAAACTTGAACCATTCAAAATATCCAAAAATTGAGAGAGTTATGAATTGTTGAAGTTGGAAAAAAATCATGGAATGACCTATAATCTTTTATATCCTTAGGGCATCTTCCATCCATTTTATCACTTTGCATATAAAATAAAGAATAACGTTCACATCCTCAAGATCATTATGGAAAAAGATTGGGATCAAGGTGATAAAAATTGACCAAGTTATGATCATTTGAAGTCACACATGGGAAATTGGGGGTTCATCGGGAGGACTTGTAATCTTTCTTCATCATCAAGTTTCTTCCACATGAAAACTACTTGAAAATTTTGAAGTTATTTGTTAATAACCCTTTTAAGAGAAGGATGTATTTGGAATCATTCAAAAATACCAAAAGATGATCAAGATATACTTCTTTGAAGTTTAAAACCCTAGCTCCTAGATCAAGAAAATGCTTTGAGGAACTTTGACAATTTTGAACCACCTTCTTGTACCCACACTTTTGCTTTGTAGATAGGAGTTGTTGAGGATGATAATGGTAACTCATAGCCACCAAAGCCACTTCCATATCTTGAGAATTGGGAGAAATATATACTTGTGACCAATTGGAACAAGGCCTTGTCCAACCATGACAACTTCTTCAATCAACCCCTTGTACTTTTGAATCAATCTTGATAACTTTGAAATATGGTAAACCAAAGTAAACCTTGCCATGTCATTTCTTCCAAAATAACTTCAATGACGAGGTTTGAATTTCTCATGCTTTATTGACTAGGGTATGAAAATAAACTCATGGACCCATGGATGAACTTGTTAAGCCACATTACATTATTAACAAGTGAGACAAACCAACATTGCGTTTTTTTAATTAAAAGTAAAGTCAAAACAAAACATGAATGACCATAAAATAAAAAACAAGTCATGGTGCTTAGTGATTTCTCAAAGAGCAAAGCTAAAGATAGGGAGGAGAACCAAAATCCCTAATGTGATCTTGTTGTGATTGAATCAATATGGTATGATGAAGGGATCTTAGAGAAAAAAATTTGGGTACAACAGAACCATCGCAAAATGTCTAATATCCGAATATAGACGTATAGCTGAATAATTATGTAGTGCTATTGCAATGGGTTTTGATTGTATTTGTAATGTCAATATTGATGATGATGCAAAGTTGCAGAATATACCGATGTTGTTGAACTGCCTGGCAGATAAGTTGTAGGCTTGTGGCCAAAGTTGAATTATGTTGAGTTGATGTTGAATTATTTTTGATGTTATAGGCTTATGGCCAACGTTGATTTATGTTGAGTTAATGTTGAATTGTTGTTGATGTCATAGGCTTATGACCAACATTGATTTATGTTGAGTTGTTGTTTGTTGTTGTTGTTGCTACATTCATATTGGGTCGCATACATCACATATCAAGTTGAAGCTGATGCTCGTTAAGTTGGCCAGAATTGGTAAAATATTAAGTTGAAGGCTTATGCTTTGTTGATGCCTCTATTTATTGGCAGATTATTACGTTGGGAATTCTGCTTCATTGGTACCACATGCATGTGCATAAAAATCAAGTCGCATTTCATGTTGCATCCTGAGTTGTTGTATGGAAGAATTAGTTGTGTTGAACATTGTTAAAATGTTGTGAAGTGGTGATTGTTATATGAACTGATTCTATTATATTTTTCATCATATATTATATTTTATTGTTTGATATCTCACCCCTTTTATTTGAATGTTACCCCTATGTTGGTAACATGCAGGTAATCCAGAGTGAAGGTTGTTTATCTTCATTAGTTTGAGTCTGTGTCGTTGCTCTGATACGTAACACTCGGGGGGATGAATGCTTGTTGCTTTATTGTTGATTTTACTCTCGTTGTTGAATTTTAAGTTGATTTTGTTAAGTACTTTGTTGTTTCTAAAGTTGTTTTCAGTTGGACCAAGATGTTATGTCATTTGAGTTGAAAATTGTGATTCCGCTGCTTAAGTTATAAAAGTTATTTCGTTTTAAAGACTAATTTATGTTGCTATCGGTTCATCCTAGTTTTAATTGTTATGTATCTATGTTACATGCGATTAAATATCGTTGTTATAAGTTGTAAGTGTAGCATCCTATTTGTATGTCGAAATTTTATAACTCTAATTTTATTAATATCCGCCGGATAGAAATAGGGTGTTACACATAGGATTACCGTTAACAAAGATAAATAAGGAACTAGAGAAAATGGTAGCATTCATCCAAGACATCCATCTATGATCAAACCTCATCCTCAAAAGAACATAACAAAGAAAATCCAAAGAAACGCAATCATAAGCCTTCTCAAAATCAACTTTAACCACCATACACTTTCTTTGCATCCTTTTGGTATAGTCAAAATTCTCATTGAGAACCACCACATCATTCAACCTTTGCATTCCTTCAATAAAAGCCATTTGAGAAGGAGCCACTAATTTCCCAATAAAAACTTTCAACCTAGGTGCCAACAACTTAGCTATAAGACAGTAAAGCGAACTGGCCAAGCAAATAGGCCTAAACTCATTAATACTCTGAGGATTATCAAACTTCGAAACAAGAGAAACAAAAGAAGCAGTGATGACTTTAAGAAGTTTTTCATGAACAAAGAACTCATGAACAAAAGTCACCAACTCATCTGTCACAAACCTCCAACACCTTTTGAAAAATCGAGAAGAAAACCATTTGGCCCCGGACTTTTGTCACAATCACTCAACCACACCACATCATGAATCTCTTCAAGCGAAAAAGGAGCCTTAGAAAATCACGATCATTCTCCAAAAAAGAATTAAAAGCCACATCACCCATGATTGGTCAAGAGGGAAACAGTTTCGAGAAACGCTTCTTAAAATGATTGACTGTACTTTATTCTTATCAACAGCATTTAATTATAATAATTAATATATATATATATATATATATATATATATATATATATATATATATATATATATATATATATATATATATATATATATATATATATATATATATATATATATATATATATATATATATATATATATATATATATATATATATATATATATATATATATATATATATATATATATATATATATATATATATATATATATATATATATATATATATATATATATATATATATATATATATATATATATATATATATATATATATATATATATATATATATATATATATATATATATATATATATATATAATTAAGAATAATATAGTTTGAGAACCATATTGACTTTTATCAAGATTTAGAATTTGTAGACATCCATGATATATTTTAGAAGACCATTTCTTTTCTTTTTTTTTTGGGTGGGTCAGACTTTCATTTTTTAATAATATAGTGTTGATTTATTTATTTTTCATTTTTGATTAATATAGTCTTGATTTATTTATAAAACATATTATATTCAAGTCTTTTGAAACTGGAAATAATGATACATTCTTTATAATGTATTGATACATAATGTAACATAAATTTAGTAATAATACATGAACAAATTTATGGTAAGTTGAGTATGGGTACAATATCGCTATTAGATTTGCTAAAAGCTTAAGTTTCAAATGTATTGGACTATTTTTGTTGCTAAAAGCTTATAACAAAGAAAAACCAGTGATAGATTAGAAGGCATGGTTAGCACGTGCCTTTTATGAGAGGCCATGAGTCATGACAATATATAAAGACATAGGTAAAATAATCATCGATTATGTTTTAGAAGTAAAACTTTGATCTCACAATGAGAGAAGCTTGGAGTTTCATAACGTTATGCTGCATGGTGATGGTGTTTATTCCTTTGATTCATAAAGAAAGAGTGATCGATACATGCTTTTGGTTTGGAGTTGAATATTGCTCTCATGGAAATGTTGTGGACTTGTAAGTAACACCCTCTTCTTCATTTTTTTCTTCATTTTTTCCTTTTATCTTCTAGTTTTGCTTTATTTTTTCATGGATTCAAGTTTGTTCAAGAGATTCTTCAACATATGAAATATTCTATATCTTAGTTCACTTAAATTAATAAATCTTCAATTCTTCTTTTATTGATTCATCTAATGACAAAATTTTAAAATATGATTGAGAATATTTATTTTTAAAGATTTATTTGAAAATATTTATTTAAAGAACTAATGTTTTAGTCGACTTTAAAGATTTTATTTAGTGCTCAAATTATGATTATTTATTTGGTAGAACGTATTTGTTTGTTGCCAGTTTCTAAGTGCTTTCCACGATATAGGTCTGGTTAATGAATCCAACAGAAATAAAGTGGTATCTTAACTTTGAGTAAGAAATAAAGTAATGTAAATAATAGATTAATTACAAGATAGGAATTTTTATTTTAAATTAACGATTTTAATTGATTTTTCAAGTGAGAAAAATATTTTTAAAATTAATTAGACCAAGATTCCTGTATTAAATAAAGTCAACGTCATAACAAATATAGATATTGTGGTTGAAAATTAATTTTTTACATCAAATAAAATAATTAGGCCAGAGTCATATATATAATGGACTAGTGTAATTTTGGAAAAGTAATTAAACTAAAAATCTTATATAATAAAACTAACAATGCTTTTATATTAGGGAGTTCAGTTCACTTTTATTTTGACACCGTTAGAAAAATTAAAAATTCTCCCATGATCAATACTAATGATTTGTCAAAAAAAAAATAATTGATACTAAAATAATTGTAAGAATTGATGATCATGGAATAATTTATATAATTTATTTTCAAACTTTATTTAATTTTCGAAGATAAATTTTAAGAGGGCAATTAACGTGCCAATTATTTTATTTTATTTTCAAAAAATAAAACTGTTAATCTTGTACCAAAAACTTAAATAAGAATTTAGTTCAATTTTTTTAAATTTAATTTTCGACCACTATATATAAATTTATTGATTTGAAATAAGAATTTTAGTCTAATTACTTTCTTAAAATTTGATAGTATCACTTATGTATGTAATTTTCTATTACTATATATAATTTGATCTAATTATTTTATTTAATAAAATTTATATATCATATAATAATAATAACAAAAATTCATATTTGTGAGTGCATTATGTTTTGGAGAATATTTAGATATAATTTTATAAGTGTAGTTTATATTTTTCTCTAATAAAAATATAATAAATATATTTAAATATTTATAGAAAATAAAAATAAAAAGAAATTACATATGTATAAAAGGAAATTATACACTTATCATATTTTCATTAAAAAATATATAAATCACACTTAAAGAAATATACTTAATTTTTTATTTATTTATTTAGATATAGATTATAGAACTAAATATTCTTTTATGAAAAAAATATTAAATAATTTGTCAATAAAATTTTGAAACTAAAATAATTGTAAAAATTGGTGACAATGGAAGAAATATATTTTTTATTTTTGAAATTAATTTTATTTTTAAAAATTATATTTTAAGCATTTCAAAATTATATTTTAAGTGAGAAAAAACTAAAAAATTTAATCATGTTCCATACTATTTCAATAATATATATATATATATATATATATATATATATATATATATATATATATATATATATATATATATATATATATATATATATATATATATATATATATATATATATATATATATATATATATATATATATATATATATATATATATATATATATATATATATATATATATATATATATATAATCGTCATATATTATATGTAATCTTGTTAATTTTATCTGATATACAATTTTTTAACTAAGTACCTTTTTTTTTTAACTAGTGGTTCATAGATATATAATCTTCAAAGCATTGGTCTAACTATTTTAGTTAAAATTTTAGTCTTCAATCATTATATAAATATGTTAAAAGAAAAAATATACGATATGGCATGCTTCATTTTTATATCTATGACAACATATATCATGCCGCATGGTGAATTGCAAACTATACAAATTACAATATAAGCATGCCTTGTATTTTTATTTTTTTTGTTGATATAAAATAATTAATTAATTAACTTGCAGCGTTGGATTAACCATAAAAGTTATATTTAAAAATATTAATATATAAATTGAACTCGTAGAATTCTATATGAATAATACTATTAAAAATAAAATGAGGATCCAATAATACTTAGAGGAAAAAGTAAGAAATCTGACGATTAAATTATTTATAGAAAAAAGAAAAAAATACTTGGGAATGTAATATCACTTTAAAAAAGATGTTATCTTAAAATAAACATTGATTTATTTTTTAAAATTTATTTCATTTAATTTATGTTAAATTTACTTTTAATTAATATTGTTTTTACTATTTTTAAATTATTAAATTTCAGTATATATATTTATGATATTTGTTTGGAATTACTTTTAACTAGTTCTATTTTCTTTTATATAAAATGTTTTTACTTGAAAAATATGTTTAATTAAAAATTATTTAATTTAATTTTTCTTTTCCAATTTTATCTTTTGCTCTAAATTAACATTCTATTTTATTCTTATAATTTTCATTTGAAAGCATTTTTTACTTTATTTATCATGCTATAATTTTAAAATTACATATATTTTCCTATTAAAAATTAATTAATACAATAAAATTAAATATTATTATATAAATTGAATATGTGGAGCTGAATATACAATTTTAAGAATTACACCTTTAAAATAAAATAAAAATGTGTGAAGTGCTTCATATGTATTTATTTAATTATTTAAAATCACTCTGTTTATAATTTTTATGTTTTGATAAAATAATTTTTTTTAATCAAAATTGATTCAAGTATTTATGATGATTATCACTATTTCATCTAAATTCCAACCAAAACTTAACACATTACTACTAATCACTAGATACTATTTTTGGACTCTTTTTTTAAGGCATCACAACTTTATCATCTAAACTTGTGTAGTTATAGTTATAGATAGAGTATGAAGAAACTTTTAATTTAATTGTTATTTTTTAATATGGTTTACTGAATAAAATTTGATCATTTAAAAGTGAATAAGTGAAATGTTGCAAATTTAAAATCATGTCCATACAATTTGATAGCTCTGAACAATTAATAACTGAGTTAAATTAACATATTAATTTTATTAGGAGAGTAGCTTACAATACAAAAAATATAGCATCACATCATTAGCATATACATGAACTCATGTGTGTAATATGATATCATTATGCACGGATGAATACAACATAACTATAACTATACCACCATGCATGTACGACTATAAATAGAATAGCTATCTTGTTGTATAAAGTTGAAGAAGATTGAGTAAATGCAATAAAATCATTTCTATCATGGTATTTTTTGTTGAGTTGATCTCTTTCGCTCTCTAATTACCCTAACTGAATTCAATTATATAATCGCTTCTTCTTCCTTGAGACGTCATGGTTGAATCATCTAAAGTTTCACAAACTACACTAATCAGTAGCATGATTCAAAATTCGAACTTTGTGATTCCTGCTTCTAATTCTTGGTTCTCACATCATTTTGGTCCAAAGTTATTGATCAAATTACAAGAGAAAAACTATCTATTGTGAAATCAACAAATGGAGAATGTCATTCCCGCTCAAAGAGTGCATAAAGTAGTAGTGAACCCTCTTATTCCTTAGAAGTTTAAGACGACACAAGATCAAGCTGAAAACATAGTTTCTGATGAGTATGAAAGATGGATTGTGCAAGATCAAGCTATTTTCATATGGCTTCTCTTATTATTTCTGAATTCGTGCTTCCTTATGTTCTCTCCTTTAAATATGCATTCGAAGTTTAGAATATAATTATTAAGTGTTTCAATGCATACATGAAAGCTCATGCTCGTCAACTTCAAGTTGAACTGAAATCCATCAAGAAATATAATATCTCAATTACTATATTTGTTTTGCATGTTAAAGTTATCTCAAATTCATTACTTGAAGTCTGGGACATTTTTTCTGAACAAGATCAAGTTGACTCCATTCCTTATGGTCTCCCTGAGGAATATAATTTGTTATATAAATGTATGGTACTAGTGAGCCTCAGTCTCTCTATGATGTGGAATTTAGTCTTTATGTTCAAGAGGCTCGATTTGATAAGTTTCGTCAAGAATTGGTGGTGTCGTTTATCTCAGTAAATGTAGCGCATGCAAATCATCAAACAATTATTGTGCGTGACAATTTCTCTAGCATTCGAGGGCGTGGATGAATGCAACATGGTAGAGGCTGTGGTAGAGGTCGCTCATCGCCTGGAAACAAACCTACATGTCAATTTTATGAAAAATATGGTCATGCTGTAATTAATTGTTGGCATAGATTTGAAGAGCATTTCAGTCCTACATAAGCACATGCCAAGGCCCTAGAGTTTTCAGATGTGTCTACTGATAAACTTGAAAATTCTACACTGATCCTCAAGCATTAGTCATGATTTCTACCGCTAAAGAATATTCATTTCCTAAAGACCTTTGGAAGTCAGACATGCTTTGCAGATTTTAGGTGTTTCACACCACCTTACACCTAATTCTTTTTACTTGCACGCTAAGAAATTTATTCACGTAACAGTCGAGTCAGTGTAGCTAACATATATTATCTAACCATAAATTGTGTAGGTTTCTCTTATGTTTATTCCTATTCATGTTAATCATATACACTTGCTTTTAATGACATTCTTCATGTACCTTGCATTACACAAAATATGCTATTAGTCTTTAAGTTTTCAAAAGATAACAATGTTGTATTTGAATTCATTGCTGAAAAATGTTTCATCAAATCTCAGGTTTCTTAGCTCACTTTACTTAAAGGTTTTCTTGATTCAAGTGGATTTTATTGATTTCCACAATTGGTTATGGAGCCTTCAAGGATGTCTTCCATGTCTCATCAAAGTTCAGTTTCTCTGTACAAATGAAAATTTTGTTTCTTGTTCAGTTGTTTCTAATGTATAAAATAAATCCTAGTCTTTTATGACATTATAGGCGTTCATTCCAACTTTCAAACCATTAGTCAAGCTCTCAAACATTGTAACATTTCAATTTTCAATAAATCATACACTTTTTTATGCAAGTCATGTGGTGTTGGCAAGTCACATAGGCTTCATGCTTATTCTTCCTTAACTATGTATAGAAATCCTTTTGAGGTGATGCGTATTGATCTTTTGGGGCCTACACTATTCCCCTCAACTTTTAGTTTTTTATATTATATTATTTTTATTTATGCTTATTCCAAATATACCTCTATATACTTTTTAAAACATAAATCTGAAGTTTTTCATGCCTTCAAATTATTCATTAAGTTTGTTCAAACTCAGTGTCACACTACAACTAAAGTTTTGCAATTAGATTATGGGAGAGATTTTAGGCTCTTCACCAAGTATTTGACTGGATTATAGAATTCTCATAGGCTCACTTGTCCACACACTTATCACTAAAATGATTGTGTGGAAAGAAAACAAAGGCATATTATAGACATGTGCCTCACATTATTGTCTCATGCTTTCATTCCCTAACAATATTGGAAACATAATTTTTCTACTTCAGTGCATGTTATCAATATGTTATCAATGGATTTCCCTTTGCATGTCTTACAAAATTTCAGTCACCTTAACATGCCTTGTGCTATAAGTTACCTAGATATAACACACTTAAAGTGTTTGGATGTTCATGTTTTTCATTCCCTCACTCTTGAAACAAACACAAATTGGAAATTTAGAGTCAATAGTGTGTATTATTATGCATCTGATCACAACATAAAGGTTACAAATGCTTGAATAAAACTGGAAAGATATACATTTCCAAAGATGTCATTTTTTATGAACACTTGTTTTATTTTCCTACTCTATTTTCTTCTAATGCATCTATCCCTTGTGACCAGATTAGTGACCATGAGCCTATTTCTTGTCCTCAGTTACATAGGAATAAATTTCCTTCTACATCAGGCATTAATCGATTGGATAATATCTCTCTTTCTTTGCCAACTATTGACAACTTGTCTTCTAGTCTTTTAAGTAATGGTCAAACTAGTCTTATTTCTCCTATGTCTCAGTATACACCTACACCTAGTTCTTCTCGTCATATATCTCCTATAGTTCAACCATCTCAATCAGGTTCTCAACCTATCAATCCTCAAGGCAGGCCTAATCTTCATACCAATATCCAACCTATGTCTCTGAGTTCTCCTAATTCTAGTAGCCCAACTGAGTCTTTATCCCCAATTATTACAATTTCCTCTCTTTCTCAAGTCCATCAATTCAATGAACATCATATATTAATCAGAGCCAAAACAATTCACTCAAAGCCTGAGAACGAAGCTAGGTGAAATAGGCTTTTTCTCAACCATATTGGTTGCAGGGTATGAAACTTGAGTATGCGACACTCTTGACTAATTAGACATGGACATTAACCACTCATCCACCTCATAGGAAACACGTGGGAGACAGGTGGGTCTTTAAAGTTAAAGATGATCCAGATGGGATTGTGAATAAATACAAAACACAACTGATTGCAAAGGACTATCATCGATAATTTAAATTTGACTTCAATGAAACGTTGCCCCCTGTTTTCTAAGCCAGTTACCATTCGAGTAATTCTTACTTTAGCTCTCACTCACAAATGGGAGTTAACAAGTTGACATTAATAATATTTTTTTGAATTTTTCTCTATGAGGAAGTATTTGTGTCCCAACCTCCTGCTTTTACATAGTGATCAAAGCACTGTATGGCTTAAAACAAAGTTCTCGTGCATGGCATGTGAAGTTGACACAAACCCTTGTCAATTTTGAATTTTCTCATAGAAAATGTGATCATTTTCTTTTTACTCTCACCAAGGTGTCATTATCTATGCTTTGGTGTAGTAGATGATATTCTAATCACAAATTCGTCATCCATGTTAATTCATAAACTTATAGACTCGCGCTCTGAAGAAGTTAGCATTCTTGAATATTTTCTTGGTAATGAGATAAAACATTTATTTTTAGAGAATCTTCTTCTCACTCAAACAAAGTACATTTGAGACCTCCTTACAAAAGAACATATGTGCAATACAAATGATGTCACCACTCCAATGCTTAGCAACTGTAGACTCAACAAGCATGACTCTAATTCTCTTCGTTATCCACACTTGTATCGCTCAATAGTAGAAGCACTTCAATATGTGACATTCATCATACCATACATTACATCAGTGTCAACAAAGCGTGTTAATTCATGGCATATCCTTTGTAGTCACACTGGTCATTTATAAAACGAATTTTGAGGTATCTAAGTGGCATCATCAATCATGGTTTTCTGCTATCTCCAGTTTCATATTCATGCAAGATCTTTCATCAATCCTATAAGGATTCTGATTGGACTAGTGATCCTGATGAGATGTGTTCTACCTCTGGTTCGTGCATCTTTTTTGGTCCAAATCTTGTATCATGGAACTCCAAGAAATAGAACATTGTGGCCTGGTCAAGAACTGAGGCTGAGTATCGTGCCTTGGCGCACACGAAATCAAATTTGTTATGGTTAGAATCACATCTTACAGAGCTTCAGGTTCCATTTCTTTCTCCTACACTTTTATGTGTGTTGTTCTACTATCTCATAATATCATCCTTCATTCTTTTACCAAACATATTGAGTTGGATATTCACTTTGTTCGTGAACTTGTTATTTCCAAATACATAAAGATTCTACATGTCCCAAAACCGTTACAAGTTGCTGACACTCTTACTAAACCTCTTGGCACTGTAGCGTTTCAAGAGCTTAGAACCAAACTCAAAGTCGTGGTTTTCACCTCTCCATGAGCTTGTGGGGGAATATTAAGAGAGTAACTTATTAAACAAATCATTAGCATATACATGAAGTCATGTGTGATATAATATCATCATGCATGGATGAATATAGCATAACTAAACATCCATGCATGTACTACTATAAATAGAATAGCTATTGTTGTATGAAGTTGAAGAAGATCGAATACTACTTTTTTTTACTTAAAAATGTAATATTGATTTGAATCACCATGCTTGTGACAGGCAAATTGGCCAGCAAAGGGATATACCATACACTAGGAAACTTACTCAAACATCAAATTCTGCTAGCTCATACAATCACAAAAACACTCTTTTACCATCATCATCACCTTCATCACCACTTTCTAGTTCTACACATATTTCACCATCATCTTCACTACTTTCCATATCAGACCCTCCCTTAGATTCACCATCACCAATAACATCACCACAACTTTCCCCTTCACCATCATCCTCACCTGAGGCAGCACCAACAACTTCATACTTACTACTTACATCATCAAATCCACCTACAGCTATGTGCACACCACAAATTTCTAATTCGATTTCAGCACCTTCTCCTTTTTCATCTTCAAACCAAAAGAATTCAAAAAGTATAAACCAAAAGAAACATTCTGTCATTATATGGTCAACAGTTGGAGGATTTTCCTTCCTTGTTTTGGTGTCATGCACTGTTTTCATTTGCTTCAGAAGTAGTAAGGTTGTAACTGTCAAACCTTGGACCACAGGGTTGAGTGGCCAGCTTCGTAAAGCGTTCATAACAGGTAATTTCTTATATCCGAGAAGTTTTATCGGACCATTGTTTAGATTGACATATTTACTGACATAAACACTTCTGATTCAGGTATTCCGAGTCTTAAACGAGCCGAACTCGTGGTAGCGTGTGAAGATTTCAGCAACATTATCGGTTCACTGAAAGATGAGACTATCTATAAAGGAACACTTTCGAGTGGAGTTGAGATAGCGGTAGTATCTTCTGCAGTGGCTTCTTCCAAAGAATGGTCGAAAAATTTGCAAGCTCAGTTCAGAAACACGGTATGCTAATGCAGGCAACAAATGTAGCAAATGCAACACACATTTTCTGATCTGGTTTTAATTCTTTTGCGTTGGTTTTACTTTTTGTCGTCCAGATTGAGACGTTATCGAGAGTGAACCACAAGAATTTTGTGAATCTTATTGGCTATTGTGAAGAGAATAAACCATTCACAAGGATGATGGTTTTTGAGTATGCTCCGAACGGAACATTGTTTGAGCATCTACATAGTAAGTCCCTTTTCCTTCTAAATTTACTTTGATCGCATGTATGAACACCAAACACGACCGTGACACTGATAATACTTCGAGAAAATAGAACAGTTGAATATAACTACATGTGCCAGACACTGAACAAACACGTCTTGAATCCAAATTGGGTTGACATCGTTAATGTATTTGTTGCAGTTAGAGAAGCGGAACAACTCGACTGGCGAATGAGAACGAGGATAGCTATGGGAATATCCTACTGTCTAGATCACATTCATCAACTCACGCCACCAACTGCGCACAAAAACTTGTTATCTTCCTCTATATATCTCACAGAAGATTATGCTGCTAAGATATCAGACCTTAGTTTCTGCGTGGACGAAGTTGATACAAAGAAGGGTTCTGAGAAAACATCAGCAGAAGAAATAAAGGACAATGTTTATCGTTTTGGCGTAATATTGTTTGAGCTGATAACAGGAAAAATTCCATATGCGGTAGCAAACGGGTTTGCAACAGATTGGGTTGCAGAATATATAAGAGGACATCCTTTGAGAGAGTTGATGGATACAAACTTGAAATCTTTGAAAGATGATGAAATTGAGAAATGGTCTGAAGTGATTAACAATTGTGTGGATCCTGATCCGGAGAAAAGGCCATCGATGAAACAGGTTACGTCTATGTTGAAGGAAATCACTTCTATGGAGCCTGATGGAGCAATGCCGAAATCGTCTCCTCTTTGGTGGGCAGAAATTGAAATCATGACCTCGGACTTATGTTGAGACATTAATTCATGGATTTCGTTCATATACATTACCGGTGCAAAAAAAGTTTACTGTCACTTTATCGTAATAGTTAGATTGCTACAACCGTACCACTTTAATTATAACTACTTCTAAAGTCAGACTTCTGAATGGTTATGATTTGTTGACGGTGTAAACTCTTTTATACCGACAGTGTATCAAAAATACTGAAGTAAGGTGTGTATACAAGAAACAGCTTTTGTCTCAGTAGAGTAATTGATTTTTTGAAATATTTAAGAAATGGAGTGTGTACTATATATATTAATGTCATTTTATGATTTTCTGCATGAACTTTGTTTTTCTTTGTTGAGGAAAAACAATGAGCAAGAGAAGTGTTTGCTATGTTTGTTGGATATGAGAAGGAAACAAGTTTCACTTCACCTTTTTGTTATTTGAAGACATCAATGAGATGCAGATTCGTCTCAAACTTTTGAGAGACTCTGCGTAAGAAGCCGAAATTAGCTTCAGCCGAGTTATGAATTTTTTTAAGGGTCCTATTTAACCAGAAAATAACCATGAAACATGTGTATGAAGGTCCTTCTTGCTATAGATTAATCATGAAAAAATGTGAGGCATTGTGTTATAAGCCGCCTTGCACACCTTCTAAGACGGGCTTGTCGCCCTGCACAACCTCAAAGACGGTCATGATGCCATGATTGAAGAATGAGAAAAGGGAAAAAAAGGCAAAACAAAATGAAGTTTTGTTCTTTCTTCCATCTATGGCAAAATAAGAAAACATAGGAAAAATAAGTTATGCATTGTAGGAAACCAGAGGTATGAGTCTCTTTATAACCTTGTAATGTAACTGTACAAAAGGGTGTGTAAATAGTGGTATACAAATTTTGTGAGTATGGCTCACAAGAATCCACATCATATCAATGTACTATTTACTTACTATTGTGAAAATATTCTCATTTACACATGAATCATACACAGGTAAATATCTATTATCCATCTTTGTCTTGATTGATCCAAAGTATAGCTTCTTGAGTTTTGTTTCCACAATTCATGGACTTCATGCATCCCATTCTAGTTTTGTTCTTAGATAGTAGTTGTGAAATATCTAAGGAAAAACAGTCACTTGGGAATAGTCAACGATTTTCGAACCAAGTTCTTCACATTTGTTTTAAGATCAAAAGTTAGGCTTTTGTATCCTTTGATATAAATCAATTGTTGCTGCATGGTTTGGATCTAAGCAAAGAGCTGCCTTACAATCTATAAGAGCAGATGATAGATCTCCCATTGACTCGTAAAATGCAGCTCGCAGATGAAGCATTTGAAGATCAGGCTTGAATTTTATAGCCTTGGTGAGTTCTTCTACAGCTTCTGTTTCTTTTTGCTCATCCATCAGCACTAGACATACATGTCATAATTCATGTTAGTATAATAATCGGTTGTCAATTCACGGATAGTGCGTGACTCGAACAAACGACATCATTATCTGAGAGGTTATTTGGTTTGACTTATTTGAACTTATCATATGGCATAAGAAGTTGTAACGGAAAACAACTTATGGCATGTTCGTAAGATATGAGAATGATCGGCAAATAAAAGTACCTGCTGCCCTGTATCTGTAAGGGTATGTCCTTAAAGGATCAAGGTGAGTTGCAACATCAAGATCAGCCATCGCCATCTCACGGTCACAATATTCCGATCGTTTCTCATACGCCGATGCAGTGCTCTCCGCCTTCTCGATTAGCATTGTCATCTCATCGTACGCAGCCTTCCGTTGATTTTTCTGTTGATAAACACGCGCCAGACCTTGATGAGCTCTTGTGTGCCTAATTGCAAGTGCATTCTTGTAGCATTCGTTCGCAAGTTCTATTTTACCGCAATCCACATAAATACTCCCCATGTTATTCAAAGCCTGCAAAACATTCCACAATACAATAAAAAAACTGCACAACAAGACTACATTTGCAATATAGTGTTATTTCGACATATATTACTAACTTGTCCTTTGCGAAGTCCATCTGAAGGACATTTAAGTGCTTCTTTAAGAAGCTGAATAACATAAGAAGAAGATTCGGGATCCAGATTTGTATCTGCTAACACATATGCTTTTAGGAAAAAGGCTTCGAATGATTTCTGAATTTCAATGGATCTGTCAGCCTTTGTTACAGCTTCGTCGCGATAGCCAGTATCGTATAGAATCCATCCTTCGTAAATTAGTCTTTCCTGCACTGAGCTAGAATGGTTTCTTGCCAGCCGCAAACTGTGCATTGCAGCCTTTTGACAGTTTAACCTGTGCAGCATAAGAGTATGTTTCGCAAATAAATAAAATTTTCACTAACATGTATGCGTTAGCGTCGAGTCAAAATCTATGAAGCATCAAGTCAAAATCTATGAAGCATCGAAACAGAAACCAAAAGTATACAGAATACGCACATGTAGACACTTGTAATAATCTAAAAGAAAAGAAAGTAAGTGAATTAATCACATGTGTCAACATCGTGTCAGTGTCAGATACTAACACCTATCAGACACCAGACACCAGACACGTCCTCGATCTAAAGTGTCATACACTAACACATGTCAGACACCAGACACATCCTCGATCTAAAGTGTTAGGGCTACATATAGGTCAAAATCTAAAATGTTGAGCAAAAGCAATACTATGTTTGAGTTAGTTCTAAATATGCTTACCTCAAGAGTAGTAGAGAAAGACGAAACTCGAGCAAACTCTTTCCAGGCTCATTCTCTAGCATCTGATGTATAATAGCCAAAGAACCAACATCATCAACTGAAGACCATTGTTGATACAATTGCATCCAACAATCAGCTTGATTCTTCTTCTGAATTCTACTTCTAAGAATTTGAACCAAGCATTCTCCTCTAATCCTCCCATGTAAAGTTACATAATTAGCCTCTATGGTTAACAATGCTCTAATATCTCTCATAGCACTATCATAATCCTCTAATGCAATATACAACCAACCCCTCAATTCTAAACAATCAGGTGAAAGCTTAAATCCAAGAAACTTATCAAGTTCCATAATCCCTTCCTTTATTTGCTTCTCCTCAACTTTCTCCAATGCTCTATATTTATAAGGAAATGAAAGTGAAGGATCGAGTCGAGTCGCGAAATCCAAATCAAAACCTTTTTCCCTTCCCATATTGTACAATGCTCTCTCTTGATACATCCACCCAACTGGTTTATACTCGAATATCAAAGAACTTATTAACTTATAAGCCGAATACGGTTGACCTTGTTTATGCTTTGTTCTCGCCACACCGGCTATAGAATAAACATGGCCTAATTCAACTGCTTCATCGAAACAACGTTGAGCTTCTTTATACTCTCTTCTTTCAAGAAACACACACCCTAATTGATGCAATGCAAGACCCTTCTGCCATCTCTCTGTGCCACACTCTTTCATTCTCTCCAGCAACATAATCGTCGTTTTCGCCACCATGCTTTCTTCCATTGCCACCTGGCTGAGAAAATAGTACAACAAGAAAGTAGCACACCCTAAATTCTCCAGCTTTTCCTTTGACTCAAAACTACATAAAAAACTTATCACCTTTGAATTACGAAGCGAATTCGGAAGCTCCCTAAGAAAAATTTGTAAGCATGAAACAACAAGAAGAGTTGCTTTTTCTTCCAAACCATACTCAATGAGTATCAATGCAACTTCAACATTTTCAACAATTGAAGCCAAATGAGAATCGCAAGACGATTTCATTTCGTCACAACAAAACCTATTGGCAAATGATAGAAGCTCTAAAACAGTATTGACACAGAAAAGATCCAATCTTTTTGTTCTACTGTAAAATTCTAATGCTTTCATACCTTCATAGCATAACCCGTTTCTCGAAAAATCAATCTTCCACATTCTGGATTCTAGAAATCCACCACAAAGCATCGCGTTTAACGGCTCCGAAAGTGAAGCAATTCTCCACCTAACACACTTGATTTCCTCATTCTCAACACTAAACAAAACATCACTTTCCTCATCAGACAAACACACACAATCATTAGAAGTTTCATTTTTTCTCTCCTCATTACATCGACAACGATCATTGATCAAAAAAGGACTAAACCCATTTTCCAAATTCTTCTTTGGACATTCAAGAACATTGTAACCACCACAATCCATTGAAGAAACACCAACAAGCTCACCATCCCTTCTCTCATACCTTAACCAAGCAGACAACACAACCTTTGACATCACATCCTCGGCGTTCTGCCGCGCCGTTCTGAGACATCTTCTGAGTAGCTTCTGGTCTCCAAGACCATACAAAACAGAAAAAAGTTCCACAAAAAGTGACACTTTCTCAGACTGTAAAGAGCAAAACTCTATACGTTGATAGAGTTCTGCTAAAGTCTCCACAAGGTTTACAGGTTTAAGATAAGGCTCTATAGTTGGTTCAATTGTATCAGTAGAAGGTAACTGAAGAGAAACAAGATTTGCAAACTCCGAGGTTTTGTTAAGGTTGTTAAATTTAGATTTTGACCATGACAATATGGTTTTGTGTCTGCTAAAGTTGTGAGGTTTGGTTTTGCTGCCACCATTGGTTTCAGATGAAGAACTTAGAGCATGAACTTGAATGCTCTTGAAACGTTCAACAATCTTCAAACTACGCATTTTTTTTTATATGAATCAACCACTTTTCTTCCAACCCTTTATGCTAAATTGTTGAACTTTGATTCAACATTAACATGGGTTGTGAAAAGTTTGAATCTTTAAGAAAAGGGTTTTCATTTTGCACTAAGCTTAAACAGTTTCAACTTCATAACATAAAAATATAAAAAAACAAAAAAAAAAAAACATGTTTTTGTTTTGACAAGAATAATGATGTTTTTTTGCTACAAATAGAGAGAAAATTCAAGCTTTAGAAAATGAGATGAAAAATTGGTACATAAATGAAGAAACTAAGTGATTCAGGTGAACCTGCTATGCTCAGAAAGTGAGAGAGATTCTTCAAAAGAACCACTCCAGTTTGAGACAGCATCATGCTAATTTGGTCAACTAGTTCCAATATGATTTTTTTATTTATTTTTTGAATTTATTAAAAGGTGAGATTAGAGAATAATTAATAGTTATGGCATCAAATCAAGTGAAAGTAAAAGGGATTTTTTTTTAAGAATGAATTATTGTTTACTAATAGCTAGGTATTATTAGGTTAATTAATTAAAAAGAATGAGTTAACTTGCAATGAATTTGGAGTGAGTTGGAATTGTGAAGTAAAGGTGCACTAGGTGGAGTGAGTTGTGTTTTGTGTAACTAATCCAATTATTATTTTTAAGTTAAGAAGTCTTATCAACACCAAACAGATTATTTTAATTTAATTAATTTTTTTTTTCAACTCCACTCTCTAAAATAAGTTATAATTAATCCATAAAATATAAATTAATTGATAAATATAAATATTATTAAACGCAAAATTAAAATATGTGTTTGGATGGAAATTGTATAATTTTTAGATAAAATAATTAATTATAGAATTAATGATGAGTTAATTTTACCATTGGATTATTATGAAAATGGTCAATCTCTTTTTTTTTACAGGAAAATGGTCAATCTCTTTTTACAATAATGTTTTGATTATGGAATAAACTTTTGAAAATTTTAATTATTTATGTTTACTCTATTTTTCCATCTAAATTAATTAAGAAATTGTACAATAGCTATATCATCACTTTCATCATAAATTATTTGGTCCATTTTGGTTGAATGTCTAAGTCATACGTGGCTCTTTCTTTTTCTTGAGGAGGAAAATATTAGTGTATGGTGTTTCATGAATGCTTTTCATTCAATAATAAACTCATTATATTGTATTACCTCATATGATCCAACTAGTCATAGATATTTATAAGTTTTGTCCTTCAAAATATTGAGTCTAATTATGCTCTATAAAATTAGCTTGTTTAGATATCAGATTCTTAATGATATAAAAAATATTATTTGATACAGGTATAAAATATTTTAAAAATAATAGTTGCGTACCAATTAAATTATTATAGTATTTATCGTTTGCGAAAGAAATTAAAAATATTTTGCTAAGCGTCAAAGGCACATGAATTAGAGAGGATGTGCATGAACATGTCATAATCAATTAGTAAAAAACACAAAATCTTAACAAATAAAGCCAGGTCAGAGACCTAATTATTGATAGGTTAGGACAGTAGATCTAGCAACACCTTTGTACAATTTAGAAATAAAATATTATAACTCAAAACATCATGACCCATAAATGGTGGCTCTTATGCATAGAGATTCTATCAATTATTGGATTGAATGTGTATGATGCATGTACAAATTAAAGAATAATATGTGTGCGCATCAATACAAGTTGGAGTTAATGTTATTGGAATATATACCTATATAGGCTTTTGATTACCATGTGGCACTACTCAAGCATATTCTTCTATAGTAGTGTAGCCACCATGAAAACATTAAAGAAACTTGTGGAAAAAGACTCGATTAGCTTTAACATCTATGAAAATTCTTAAGGTTTCTGATTCGTTATGGGGTTTGATAAAGGTGAAAAAATTGTGGTACACAAACAAAGTCTTTTTTTAGTCTTTCTTAATCGATTAATTTAGATTCTCCACTTATAAATTAAATGGAATGAATCTTGTTAGCAATAAAAACACCTTGTATTATATTGATTGATAGTGAGTGAGTCATGTCACTGTTATGATCATAATTATGTGTTTTAAGATTATAAGTAGATGATTAAGATTGTTTATACTACTGGTTAAGATTGTTTATATACTGTTCTATTTTGATTAAGATTGTTTACATTGATGATGAAGACACATAGTAATTGGTAAAGCCTTCACCCCTAATTGGTGGGGTATAGAACCGTTTGTCAAGTGTTTATCTTTGTATTAAGGCGATTGTATTAGGATTTACATATATTTGTGTGTGTGGATCCAAACCATGAGCTAAAGAGCTTGGATTAGGTTTATCAACCAATTTGGAGGTGGTGGCCACTCTCCTCTTCTTATGATAGGGCAACCATTTTTAAGCATAGTCATGTGTTTGGTAGTTGGTTTCACGCAGTGCACTTTGGGGTCTAGAATCAGGTCATAGGTCCATACATGTTTTAAGATTGAGTATGTAGTCTCAAATCTTATGTTAGTCTACATCCCGAAGTATTACACATGTAAGGGGAATGTATTTAAGATTAATATGGTGGTCCCTCTGCCCCTAAGTATGAGGTTTTTAAAGGTGGGATGTTTAAGATTATTATATTAGTCTCATGTCCCCAAGTATGTGTTTTAGCATGTAATTTTATTATTATTGAGATGGGCCATATTCATAACATTCCTTTATAAAGAATAAAAGTGGCGGAACCACTTAATTTAGTGGATGCTAAATTGATTGTGAATTTTTTTTGGTCTCTATGCCTTTACGAGATAGGTGTTGTATAGGTTTTATTACCTCGATGGTTGTTTCTCCACGAAACAATTGTTATCCTCTTATTAAAGGTTACTTGCAGGATCGGCTACAATATTCTTAGACTTAGCGTTTTAATTGTTTTTTGGGTTGAAGTTGGTTGATGTTGGATAAAAAGGGCAAAAGTAAAAGACGATTGCAAAGTAAAAGAAATAAATGACAAGACTTGTAATTTAAATGTTAAAATTAGAAGTTGCTATGAATTTAAATGTGGAAGCATTCATATATTGTTAAGCCTGAACTCGTTTCTCTCTTAGATGTGGGTACTTTGAGTGTAATGCTCTAAATGTGAAGAAATGCGACCTCACACACAAATACAAACATTTCCTTAAATAGAAAATCTAAAAGTGTAACCGTCGACGGTTACTAGTCCCACGTTGGAATTCATGGAGAACTACTTTGCAACGTCCCCACGTTCTTACTGGCTGGTGAGTTAATAATTGTTCTTGTCGTTATTTATTGTTGCTTGTCGACACTCGCATCATGCCTGACGACACATGCATCCTGTCGAGCCTGCCTCTAAACTTGGTGCCTTCGTCGACTAGAATTCCTGGCTGATACTTCTTCGACCTGTCGACGCATCCCGTTTTATAGTGTAAACGTGCCCTTCTAACCATAGATAACTTTACAATCTAAAGGCTTGTTCCCCTAATTGAAAATTGCTTGTCAGCAAATTGCCTCCCAAAATGCCATGTTCGACGGAGCCTCTGCCGATGAGAGAACTTTGGCGTTTTCTCTTCCAAGTTTTCGTCCGCATGTAAAAAATAACATCATGCACAATCATGACTCCTTTCTGCGCAACAATTTCCCATATCAATCAATCACTTCTCATGATTACTCCTAGGTTTTAGGGTGTGGGTTTTCCAATGAACCCCACTAACTCTTCCACCTCTTGGCTTGCTCACACCATTTGAGTGACATTTGTTTCGCTTTTAACGACTTTAATTTCTCTTTAAATAGACTTTCAAAAACTCTCAGTTCCTTTCTTCTCTCCTTCTGCTTCAGTTTTCCAAACTCTGTAGTTTCTGAAAATCTTAAGGAAACTTACTTTGTTTCCATAATGGCCGCTTCATCCAGTACTCCCTTCAACATTGATAATAACCTCATAGATTTCTCTATTTCTATGAAACAGAGTCTGAACTACATCCTAGAACCCTCCTCTAAAGTGAAATCCAAGATTGAGGCATGGCAACACCACATGCTTATACCTTTTGTTGTTACAAAGAAACTCTTCGCATTCCATTCTTGAGGGAATAGTTCATGGTGAAAAGGCCCTTCAACTTAGGAGAAAGATTAGTCACCTGACAGCTAAGAAGACTCGTCTCGACCAGAAAGTCACTTATGACAAAATCCATTTGGAATATATTAAATCCTAATTTCCTTTGTAATTCTATCGTTGCTCATATTCTAGCTAAGACTCATTTGTGAATATGTAACCCTTTTAGGGACTTTTGATAGCCATCTTGGTATGTATCCATTTTGGCCAACAGTATTTTGACATGCTTTATTTTGCAGTAATTTGAATCTCTTGAAGCATAGGTTTATATTTTTTTTAAATATTTCTCGTTTACTTTTAATATTCTTTGATTGAAGCCTAGCTCTTCAATCTCATACGAATTATTGGTGAATGCCTGCAGTACTTGAAATGGTCCTTCCTAATTCGGTGACTACTTCCCCAAAGTTCTATCTTTTCGATCCATGGGAAGGATAACTTTTCACACATAGTCACCGACTGCAAACATTTTTATTTTTGCCTTTTATTATAGGATCCTGCAACCCGCTCCTTTTATCGAATTAGCACATCCAACGCAGCAAATCTTTCTTCATCCAGATCTACCGTCTCATTAAACATCATATTCTAATATTTTTATGATTAAAGTTCGTGTTGGCGCTGCACTCGTACTGATTGCAAGTGTGTCTCGACTGGAAGGACCATGTTGTGTCCAAATGCTAGTCGAAAAGGCGTCAACTCCTAGGGAGACGTTCGACAAGCACATAAAACTTGATCTAATGTCTTTTACTAATTCTTGGGTTTCTTAGATACATGTTTCTTAGTTAACCTAATTATTACTTTGTTGCCAGCTTCGACCTGACCATTGGCTTGAGCATAATAAGGCGTGGATGTTACCAAATTGAAACCTATTTCAGATACAAACTCTTGCATTTTACGCCCAACGAAA